GCCAGGCTGGAGTGCAGAAACACAATCTCAGTTTACTGCAACCTCTGCCTCCCGGATTCAAGTGATTCTTCTGCCTCAGCCTCCCAAGTAGCTAGGACTACAGGCACATGCCACCATGCTCAGCTAATTTTTGTATTTTTAGTAGAGATGGGGTTTCACCATGTTGGCCAGGATGGTCTCAATCTCTTGACCTCGTGATCTGCCTGCCTTGGCCTCCCAAAGTGCTGGGATTATAGGCATGAGCCACTACACCCAGCCTCAATTGCTTTTTTCACACAGTTTTTCCCTTCTTTCCTTTGTACCTTTAAACGTACACATTTCGCAAATTACTTTGGAAAAAAAAAAAATTCTTGTCCTAGTTACCTCATCTGGCTTCACTTGCTAGAACGTTTCTATCCCTATCAAAGCTAAATTTATTGATCAAATGTGATCAGACTTGCTGTGCTCATCTGTGTGATTAATGACCCCTTTACTTCTATTCCCTACTCTTTCCTGAATCAAACATTACAACTAACCAAGAGCTTCTTTTTTCTAAATCCAAATATTATGCTTAAGTCCTAGAATTCTTCACCTTCCTTCTGCATTTGACACTTATTTTCTGCTTATTCATTTTAATCATACCTTGTTTTTCCTGCCATAGAAAAATACCTTCTTACAAAGCCACTGATTCATTTCTTCTGCACCTTCTTATCCCTGAAAATGAGTTGTTCTTAACCAGCATACATTCTACAAACCTGCATTCTTTATACCCATTCCCTGCTTTATTTTTCCCTGAAGCCCTTCACAAACATTATTTATTATAAAGTTTACATTTTAATTTGTGGATTGAATTCTCCCACTAGATCATAGACTCCTGGGGTTAGTGATCTGCTTCTTCTTTTGTCCACTTCTGACTCAGGTTGTTGGGCTAGAGCGGTGAGCAACATATGATAGCCCCTCACAAGAATGCAGGCCGCCTCAGAAAATCCATCTGAAATGATCAATATGATTTTGTTGTTTCCCTTTGACATTCGTACAGTATCATGTGTTGATTCTTGTTGAATGAATTATTCTCTCCTGGTCCTTGTTTATATGTCTCCTTCAGAAGTGCTTGTGATCTTTCAGAATAAAAGTGTTGTTTAATTTACTTATTCAGTTTTAAGTACTTAATTCTTATTTGTGAATGGATTATATAATCATAAATTCTTAGCTAAGCATTCACATTCTAGACCTGGCCATAATTACATTTATAGCCATATCTCTTATTACTGCTGGACACTTTTTCATGAAGTAATCAAGAGGAGTTACTCACATGTCCAAATAATTTTACCATTTTTCTAACTTCTAGCTTTCTTATTCCTAAAATCCTTCTATCATTGTCATCCATAAATTTCTCAATTTTACTAATACATTAGTATAAGATTGATTTTCACCTAGAAGCTATTTTTTTTTTTTTTTTTTGGCATTTCATGCCTGCTAAGCTGCTGTAGAATCCCATTTTTACCTTCATCCTAGCATGCCATTTTTAGCACATTTTCTTGTCTCTGCAGATATGTATTGTTGGTAGATACTGCTTTATCAAGAAATATCAGGAGGTTTTTTAGTTATACATTGGATTCAACATGAACTCTCACACTGAAGGTTATGTTATTTTGTAGAGAAACACATGTAGCTTTTTTTTCTGATCATCCTTTTCAGGGAACATTATAATTAAACTCAAATTCTTCCCCTACAAGTTACCACATTTTCTATTCCAAACTAGTTCTGAGAAAAATGAGCTTACTGCTTACCTTCCATTTTTGTATTATGTTGGTCTCCCTGTTTAGATTTCTTTGATTTTTCTATTTTTTTTTTCCAGATGGACTTCATTTGCATCAGGAAGTTCTCCTGAAAAACAAACAAACAAAAAAACTATAAATTTGAGCACTAGAAAATATTGTATATTTCAGATACTTCTAAAAGAGATATAGACATGGGACAAATAAAGAGTGCAGAATGCAGACATGTAGGGGCTTTTCTTAAGGACGCTGATTGTCAAGTCTGAGACGCCAATCAAACCAAGGGTAGAATTCCCAAATTTGGAAAACAAGATCCATTATCTTAGAAATCTGGCACTGAAACTGATACAACCTGGTCAATTTTCAGAAGTAAATCTTATTTTATATTTAATTTTAAAATGCTAGCCCTCAGTTCATCTACAGTACTGTTGGAGCATAGTGACCAGGATTTATTAGAATTTTCTGTAATAGATTCATTGCAATCATGACTGTTAGCCAATGACTATCATGGAAACTAGTGATTAATCTAGAGCTCCTTACACTGAAATACCAGAACCCTAATGCTCATCAATTTTGACATCATTCCTCTCCCTCAGCCCAATAGAATTTAAATTTCAGGTTAGCAGGGATGTTTGTGTGGTTTCTTCAGTGCTTAATCCTAGTGTCTAGAACAGTGTCTAATACATGTTCATCAGTAATTCTGTTTACTGCATAAAATTATTAATGATTTACTACTAATAATAATGATTTTATTATAATTAATAAAAAGATACATTTAGGTTGTAAAGGATGATACATTTAGGATGTACAAAATCTGATTGAAAAAGCATAAAAATATAAGTCTATAAGATTATTAATAAAGTGTATCTTTCCTTATTACCTGTAGGATTCAGGGTCCTTCACATTTCAAAGTGCAATCAGTGGCATTCACTTACCCTATAGTATTCATCAGCCTTTATCCTATAGTGTCTGTGAGTAGCATGCTCTGGCGATTGACAGCAAAGAAAACAGCAGCCTCCTGTCAGTTTCACAGGTGAAGTTCTTGGTTTCCTGGTGTCTCCTACAGATCAGCATGGCAGAGCTTGATACGTGGCAGGTGACTGATTCTCTGGTACGAAAAACTTGTTTCTTAACAAAAGTAATGTGTTTGAAGTTCATTTGCTGTGATACTTCCCTGCACACAGGGCAGCAAGTTGGAGTTTGTGCATCTTCCCACAAGAGGCAGAGACAGGGACTACAAACTCTGTGCCCACAGCAAATGGCGATAGGGTCTGTGAAATAGTCTGTGCAGATCGAGCAGGTGAGCTCACTGGTAGAACACTGCATGATAGCAGAAGCTGTGTTTCTGAGAAAATAAAAGGAAAGTGTCATTTTCCCCCAAGGCATATGAGATGAGATGAAGATCTTTTTCACTCATTATGTACGCACGGTAGCAAGACAGTCCGTGTTTTCTGAATGGCTAAAATAGGATGGAGAGGCACAAAGAATGCAACAGATTGATAACATGCACTCTTTCTTGACAACTTTGGCCTATACACTATTTTCTAGCTCCCTAAAAGAAATCCAATATTTTTCATATCCGTTACCTCATCTACAAAAATTTCCAAAAATCACAGGTCCTGGGCTGCTCTGTAGCCACAGGCAGTGGGTCATTATTTTGTGCAAAGCTATCAAGATTTCTACTCCTTTTTTTTTCTTATTCTCCGATTGGTGTGTACTCCAATTCTATACTCCCATTCTGGCCAAAAGAACAAGAAAGTAGACTCCTGGGAGAATTCTGTAAAAGGTATTCTTGCTACAGAAGAGACACATGGAAGAAATAATTGCCTTTTCTGCCTGTGGACATTATCTGGATGCAATATTTGCTTATGTAACCATTTTGTGGACTCATTGTGAACTAATCTAAAACAAAACCCATTACTCTAAGGAAAACAGAAAGGTGGAAAGAACCCGAATCCTTAATAATACAATAGAACACTAATTACTTAATTCTGGAGAGGCCAACTAATGCAATGAAAGAAATGGTGGAAAATTATTATTTTACAGATGCCATAAAAATAATTGAATCAGGCAAGAATAATTAATGAATAATAAAATAACTAAGTAATAGATTTTGGGAAAGAGCCTATTCGCATATCATCATAGTTCTACCCCACATGTTAGCTCTATCCGCAGTGTTACTGAGGTATAATTGTTAAGTGAAAGTGCATAATTTAACGTGTACAGAGGCAGATGACTAAGGACACAAAGCACCTCTGTAGTGTTTTTGCCAAAAACATTTCACCTGCATGTAAGCATGAGAGGAAATTGGATAAATGCATTTGAAAAACACTATGCAAAAAATAAGCATGGCCTGTTAAAATAATTTTCTTAGGAGAAAGTGTTTGGAAACAGCTGCATAGCAAAGATAATTAAAAGAAAAGAAAAATTAACTACAATGTAATTATAATATCATTGATTTATACCTGGTTTGAAAAAAGTTACAGCCATTTATGACATTATTGACACATTCAGGGACATCATAAAACCTAATAGGGTCTTATGGTTGCAGCTCAGAAATGGAGAAGGATGAAAATACTATTGCTGGCTTCTTGCAAGAAAAAAAGTGCGAGACAAGCTGAAGATTAATGAGGTTTTGTTTGTCTGTTTTGTCTTTCTTTCTCCCTCCCTCCCTCCCTCCCTCCCTCCTTCCTTCCTTCCTTCCTTCCTTCCTTCCTTCCTTCCTTCCTTCCTTCCTTCCTTCCTTCCCCCTTTCTTTCCTTTCTTTCCTTTTTTTTCTTTCTTTCTTCTTTTCGACACAATCTTCTTCGGTTGCCCAGGCTGGAGTCCCATGGTGCAATCTTGGCCCACTGTGACCTCTGTCTTCCAGGCTCAAGCTATTCTTCTGCCTCAGCCTACTGAGTAGCTGGGACTACAGGCACATGCCACCATGCCCGGATAATTTTTGTATTTTTAGTAGAGATGCATTTTCACCATATTGACCAGGCTGGTCTCAAACTCTTGACCTCATGATCCACCTGCCTTGGCCTCCCAAAATGCTGAGATTACAGGCATGAACCACAGTGCCTGGCTCATTTGTCTGTTTTCTAAACCATTAGAGAATAGAGGTAACAAGACAATAAGTTCTGGATAGAGACAGGTACAGCACTGAGAAAAACAGGACTCATGCATACGTTTATCTGGGGCAGATTCTACGAAAGCCCATAAAAGCAGGTAGAAGATAAACCAAATGGTTTTAATTTACTGCTCAAACCAAAGCTGGGCTAGAGTGAGTGTGCAAAGACCCTTAGGGTCACAGATACAGAAGAATCCTCACCCAAAGGGCAGGCTTTTCCAATAGAAATGCCAAGAGGCTCTCACAGGGAAAACCCAGAAGAATCAAGAGAAATTTTCCCTTCTTGTGGTACTGACTGGGAGAGAAAAATAGGAGCAAATACATCAAATCAACCTAAATATTTATCAGTGATAGACTGGGTGAAGAAAATATGGTACATATACACCATGGAATACTATACAACCATGAAAAGGAACAAAACAATGTGCTTCACAAGGACATGGAAGGAGTTGAAAGCCATTATCCTCAGTAGACTGTGGGACACAGAAAACCAAACATTACATGTTCTCACTCATAAGTGGAAGCTGAGTGATGAAAAAACATGAACACATGGTGGGGCAGTGGGGGGCAACACACACTGGGGCCTCTCAAGGGTCAAGGGTGGTAGAAGGGAAAGCTCAGGAAAAATAGCTAATAAATGCTGGGCTTAACACCTAGGTGATGTGATGATCTGTGTAGCAAACCACCATGGCCCACGTTTACCTATGTAACAAACCTGCACATCCTGCACATGTACCCCTGAACTTGAAAACACATATATTTTAAAACATCTTTCATTCCTAGAAGTTTTGCTTGCCATGCATTTTCCCAAAACACTATATTAAAAGTGAAAGTGATTTCACACCAGATTTGTCTTTGTCTCTGCCTCTCTCAGTACAGATAAAAGCACCTTTGCAGTGAATCTGAAAATATTTCGTGTAATTTTCTTGATGTTTCTCCCACTGAAACACAAAATTTAAAATAATTTATACCAAATATGTTAACAAATATTAACATCATAGCGACAAAGACTAGTTACATATCATGGGTTAAAATAACATTTGTATGTTATTTTTCATTTTGCAAGTAGCAAAAATATATGTGCACAGTTGTACTGGGAGAATAAAAGTAGACAGGTATCTATATAATATCAGTAGGGTTTTGAATGAACAATAACAAAACTTTTCAATGTAAGTAAGGTCCAGAACCTGTTAAGGCACTCAGGAGGGCGGTCTCCAGGTGGAGACAGTGGTTCTCATTCCAGTTCTATTCCTTTGAAAAGTTTCTGGATAACCACTGCCACCATCAAAGTGACCACAAATGGGGCTTTTCCACATTAATATGCTTGTTGAACCCTGCTTCAATTTATTCTAAAACATAGGGAAGAGATGAGACTGGACCTTTGGTTAAAGGCTTTATTGAACGCTCCGTGAAAACTATGGAGTAAGAAAAGCAAACAGTATCCAGAAGCCTGGTAGCCTAGTTCATGCAGCTCACTTTTCTCACCTTCCAATTGGGTGCTTCTCCTCAAGGGACCTCCGTTGTCTTATCCTGCTTGCCCACCACCCGGAACTGATGCTTTGTATCTACCCACATTGTCCAGATCCAGGAAGAGGAGGAGATGGGAGTGGGCTAAAGTTTTCATTACCAGCTGTGCTGTGTTTCCTTTCTGAGAAGGGAGCCTTCTCAGATTAACAGCCAGGCTGATGAGTTAGCCTAATTGGTGCATCAGTATCACCTGAAAAGCTTCTGAGGCCACAGACTGCTGAGGCCTACCCATGGTATTCTTGATTCAGTAGGTCTGGGGTGTGATCAGAGAGTTTGAGTTTTAGGCAACTTATAAGAGGCTGCTGCTGGTCCCTGAACCATACTCTGAGAATCTCTGATTTAGACTAATGTTCGTAAAAGATGATACATTTAGGTTGTACAAGGATGGGCAATTTTTTAAAATGTGATTGAAAAAGCATAAAAATAGAAGTCCAGGATGTAAACTTGCCACTATAGCTTCTTATGGTTTGTGATGGGTGAAAAGAGTGCTAGGAAATGCATCCTCTTTTGTTCATACAATCACAGCACCATGGGAAGGCTACTGTGCCCCACGCTTGGTTTTCAGGGTCTAGGAGCTCAAGGAACAAGATATAGACCCAATGTCCTGGGTCCCAGGCAGCCCTAGTTTTAGACAGTTTTCTTCCTCACCCCAGCCTTACAACAAGTAGGTGATCAGGAAATGGGTCCTTACTACAGGGGTTCACAATGTGTGGCTGTGAATACTTTTAGGGTACATGAAGTCAAAACTATTTTTATACTAACGTTTAGACATTAATTGCTCTTTGAAATTTTATTATCCCAAGAGTGTACAGGAGATTTTCCCAGGGGCTATATGACATGTAATATCGCAAGAGAAAGAAGCACATGTGAGAATCCAGATGTGAGAATGTCTGGCTTCTATTAAGCCAGACGTTAATGGGATTTGTAAACATGTAATCAAAGCCACCCTTTTATTTATTTTATGGTTTTGGAAAGTATACTTTTTCATAGAAATATTACTTTACCAATTATGGCTTTATAATTGTTAAATTATTCATAAATGTATATTTAATTATTTTTCAGTTTTAATTTCTAATACAGCATATCTTGACATTAAAAACCCCACATCAACAAAAGCTTGTGGAGACCCTCAATTATTTTATCAGCTTAATTGAGGTATAATTTACATACCATAAAATTTACTTACTGTGTAAGGTTTAATGACTTTAATGAGTTGCTAATAAATTCATTTTATGCTCAATCACTCTATCCACTTTTAGAACACTTTCATTCTTCCAAAAAAATCTCTGCTCACATCCCTGTCTTCAAGCAACCACTGCTCTGTGTTTTGTCTGGAGGATTTTTGTTTTTGTTGTTATTTTCGTGGTTGCTTTCTAAAGAAGGGTCTAGCTTTGTTTGCCGAGGATGAAATGCAGTGGCACTATCACACCTCACTGTAGCCTCAACCTCCTGGGTTGCTTGAGCAATCTTCCCTCCTCATCTTTCTGCACGGCTCATCCTACAGGCAAACAACACCACACCCAGCCAGTTTTTAATGTCTTGTAGAGACAGACAGGGTCTAATCCTGTTTCCCAAGCTGGTCTCACACTCCTGGGCTTAAGTGATCCTCCTATCTTGGCCTCCCAAATTCTTGGGATTACAGGTCTGAGGCACCCCACCTGAAGTGTGCATAGGGTTTTGACTTTTAATGAGTAGTACATATGTAATTATTCAATATATAATCTTTTGG